GACTATGAATTTGTTGTATTCGGGGGAAATTTCCCTTTTTATTGTTCAGTTACCTTGCTGATCTTAGTACCTTCTTTCTTCTGTCTGAGATGAATGTAGCTGCTCCTGGTTCTCTGGTGTCTGGTCTGTATTTCATATGAACCTCTCCTAAACAGCGTATGGTGTAGTCTGTTACTTTATAACTGATACATTTATACTATTAATATTAAAGTGATTATTGAGATGGATTACTAACATATTTGTCACCATTTCCTGTTCATTGCCCTTGTTCTGTGTTCTTATTTTTGTCTCTTTTCCTGCCTTTTGTAGTTTTAAGTAGGCATTTGATTAGAGTCCTCCTTTTTTCTATAATATGTCAGTTAGACTTCTTTTACTTTTGTAATGGTTATTTTCTTCCTCTCTACCAAACTTCTTTTTAGTATTTCTTGCTGAGCGGGCCTGTTAGTAACAAATGCACTATTGTCTGAGAAAATTGTGGCTACTTCTTTCTTCACTTCAGAAGAATAATTTTTTCAGGTTCCAGAATTCTACGATAGTGGGGTTTTTTTTCTCTCACCTCTTAAATAGCTTATGCCATGTGTCTTGTTTCTGTGGTTTCTGAAAATATGTAATTCTTTTTCTTTTTTACCATTTTCTTCTAAAGCTTTTTGCTATGCTGAGCTGCATAAAACCGTGTTCGTGAAAGCGTGTAATAGATTTTAAGCATGAAGCCGTTCTCACCATCATTCCTCTGCACTCAGGGAATTCCCTTCTTCCACCTTCTGGGTGCTTTTAGTATTTACTCATTGACTGTGGTTTTCTTTGGTTTAAAATATCCCTAGCTTGGGGCTGGCAAGATGGCTCAGGGAACAAGAGCACTCATTGATATGCAGAAGACCAGGTTTGGTTCTCAGTCTCCGTGGTTGTGTCTCACAGCTGTCTGTAACTTCGTTTCCAGGGGATCCAGTCCTCTTTTCTAAACTACTGTGGTACACATACATACATGCATGTGGTACACATACATACATGCAGACGAAACACTAATACAAATAAAATAAATCTTTTAAAAATGCCTTGCCGGGCGGTGGTGGCACACGCCTTTAATCCCAGCACTGGGAGGCAGAGGCAGGCGGATCTCTGTGAGTTCGAGGCCAGCCTGGTCTACAAAGCAAGTTCCAGGGAAGGTGCAAAGCTACACAGAGAAACCCTGTCTCGAAAAAAAAAAAAATAAAAATAAAAATATGCCTAAATACTGGGCAGTGGTAGTGTACACCTTTAATCCCAGCACTCAGGAGGCAGAGGCAGGTGGATCTCTGTGAGTTCAAGCCCAGCCTGGTCTACAGAGCAAGTTCCAGGACAGCCAGGGCTGTTACACACACAAAACAAAACGAAAGATATACACACATATGCATGTAAGTGTAATTTTGATATCTTTAGTTGGTTTGGGGCATTTCTGCTGCCTGATGTTCCTTGTGGATCTTGTTTTGGTGTCTGATATTAATTTGAGAACATTTCAGTCATTAATTTCTTGTGGTTTGGGGATTTTTTTTCATTTGTCCTTTTTCTTGGTATTCCCATTACACATGTTACTTCTTGTGTGCTTGTTTCACAGTTCTTGGGTATTCTGTTTTGGTTTCGTCCATTTGTATTCTACTTTGTTTTGTTTTTCTTTTCTTTTTTTTTTTTTTTTTTTTTGTTGTTGTTGTTGTTGTTGTTTTTCGAGACAGGGTTTCTCTGTGTAAGCTTTGCTCCTTTCCTGGATCTCGCTCTGTAGACCAGGCTGGCCTCGAACTCACAAAGATCCACCTGCCTCTGCCTCCCGAGTGCTGGGATTAAAGGCGTGCGCCACCACCGCCCGGCACCATTTGTATTCTACTTGATGTTAGAGGTTTCTAGTGATAGATATCTGTGCCCAGAGATTCTTTCCCTAGCCATTTCAAGTCTTCTGATAAGGCTATGTATATATTTATATGTAGTGTCTCAACTCTGTATTAAATTACAAATTCCTTTAAGTCAGAAGTTGCATTCATTTTAACTTTATTTTCCTTATAACACCTAATAAAATTCTATACAAGAAATAAACAAAATATTACAGTATGGAGTATGGTGAAATAAATATCAGTAAAAGGTAAAATTCAAGGGCGAGATAAATTCTATTAGAGCATTTTTCAGTCAACTGCATAAGTATATTTTATTATAAAAATATTAATATTTGGTCATGTCATTGGCCAGAATCTCATCCAGCCCTAACAGTCCAACTAGAATACTATCATTAGGTCTTGCTTGCTGAATACATTTCTGAGCACATGAGGTAGCAGTTCTCAATCTGTGGGTTGCAACTCCTTTGGGGGTCACATAATAGATGTCCTGCATATCATATATTTACATTACAATTCATAACAGTAGCACAATTACAGTCATAAAGTTCCAACCAAATAGTTTTATGATTGGGGGTCACCACACCATGAGAAACTGTATTAAAGGGTCACAGCATTAGGGAGATTGAGAACCACTGATGAGGGGGCCATTCTGATGAGACATAGTAAATAAAGATTTATCTTGAGCACTAATAGCCAACTCTCCATGAGAACTAGTGGCAGCTCTCCATCATGATGCTAGTACAGCACTATACAGCACATCAGGCAAATGACTGTTTAAAGAAATAACGAATTTTTAAAGATAGCTTTTTCTTTTTCTTCAAATATATAACTACTTTTATAATAAGCTGGAATTTAAACTATAGATTAGATGATTGCATCTCTGGTATTTGGGGGAGTTTTACATGTTCTTTGATTTTCTTTTTAAATTTTGTGTGGTTAGTTGTTTCTGGCACTGGTGATTGAACTCAAGACCTCACACCTACTAAACTGCTGAGCTACACCCACAGTTCCCCTTCTGGGTAGCAAGAATAATTGAGTTTATCATACATTTAGTTTTTAGTCATTAACTTTTTTCATCTTTCTCTCATGAGTGGATCAAGTCCTAATGTTATAAAAAATATTCAACTTAATGTAAGAGGAAAACACTAACTCACCTACAAAGGCAGAAACACCAAAGTAAAAACAGATCTGTTGTCAGCAACCAGATGCCAAGAAGTATGGAGTGATAGATTTCAAGCCCTGAAAGTGGTATCTCTGACCAAGATTGCCATGCCAAGGAAAGCTATTTTTTTAATTAAAGGAGAAATCAATATTTCAAGAACAGCAGAAACTAAGTCAGTTTGTGACCACCAAGCCAGCACTGCAGAGAAAAAGGGAATGTTATACACACAAGAGGTAGGAGTGAAGCCTTAATCACAAGAACATGGAAACAGTTTCATTAAAGGGATGATCAAAAAAGAGCAAACCACAGATACTTACCGGGGAGAAATAAAGATCAAACATTAACCCACCCAGCCAGAAATCAACAAACAAAACTACAGGAATTAGTGAACATCTCTCAATCACCAAAAATGAGACACAGGCTGGGTTAAAAACTAGATCTAACTACTTTTGTCTCCAAGAAACATGCTTACTGGTAAAGATTGAAAGCCAGCGGATAGGAAACAATCTGGCAGGTGAACAAACCAAGTTGGTATAGCTATTCTGTTGCCTGATGAAGTAGACTTCAAACCAAAATTAGTCAGAAGAGATGAAGAGGGGGGGAAGGAACTAAGGTGAAAGGAAAGCAAAGGGGCAGGGCGGGGCGGGGTGGGGGGGGAGCGGGGCGAGCAGGCCCCCATTGCCAAGGAGCACAGAGAGGAGGGGAATGATTGCAAACAAGGTCTAATAACATTTATTTATTTATTTATTTATTTATTTATTTATTTATTTATTTATATAAACAGTGCCAGAATGAAGCTCATTATTTTGTATGTCTTACAAATAGTGAGCATCTTCATTCATTCTTGGATTTATGCAACAAATTTTTTATTATATGCTCATTATTTTTGAGGTGATGACAAGCTCTCTGTAATTTGGTGGAAGTGGCCGGAGATTGCCAAAGAATGTATAGTACTTTGTTCATTTTTTCAATGTATTGTCTGAGCATCTCATACATAACGCATTTTAATCAATCAAACCCACCCCCACTCCCTTCCCTTCCAAAACTGCACCACGACATTTCCCTCCCAATTTGATCTACTCTTTTTGTTTTCCCCAAACCTACTGAGTCCACTTAGTGCTGCCAGTTTGTGCACAGTATATGGCTGTCCCCTGGAGCATGGGCATCCTAGCAGGGCTCATTTCCCTGAAGAAAACTAACACTGCTTCAGTCAGTGCCTTCAGTTGCCTCTAGCTTCTTGGCTGACTAGAGTTGGGACCTCATGGGCCCTTCTGCATCCATGCTGGAATTTGGGCTGGCTTGATGTGGTACTTGAGGTTACAGAACCTGTGAGTTAACTTCTCAGTATTTTAATGATTTCATAGATGATCTATATTTCATGTAAAATAGTTTATCTGCATTTGAATTAATTTTATAAATAACAATATCCAAAGTGGTATGACCAAATTTGAATAACACTTTGGAGATTAGCAATCTAGTCCTTGTTCTACTTAGTTAACTCTCCCCGAGCCTCCTCCAGCAGTATCTTCAGTTTCTCCAGTACACCAAATACCTTCCCACTTCAGGGACTTGGCACATGCTGTTCTAATTACCTAATTTCCATTAGTTTAAGAAATCATTAGGTATCATTTCTATTGAAATTGCTGATGATATTTTCATAGAAAACAGTATGTTGGTCTGTTTTATTGCTGTTTTAAAAGTCTTCATAAACTTCCGGGGGTTTTTTTTCTGCCACAACTAGTATAAAAACTAAGATAGTTGCTATCAACAAGTTTAATTTTCTGTTTTTCACAGTAGAAAAAAGTCCTTCATCACATTACCAAGAAATTTCAAACAACTAGCATTTATAAAGTTAAAGACTGAAAGCTAGATTCTGTCCCAGTCCTTCCTTTTGAATCTAAACCCTTTTTGCGAGTTCATTGTGGAAGGCAAGGTTCCCGAGTAGTTCTCTCTCCCACCACTCTGCCTTTTCATTCTAGGGATTCTTCAGCAAGCGCCTGAAAGGTTCCATCAAGAGGACCAAAAGCCAGTCAAAGCTTGACAGAAACACAAGCTTTCGACTTCCATCCCTTCGAAATGCAGATGACAGGTAGGACATGACTTGTTTTTAAAAGACATCAGATGTTGGAGTGGATTATTTACTTCTTTTGAGATAGTGTCTCAGTATGTTGTTCTAATTGACCTGGAGTTTGCTGTATAAACCAAGTTGGTCTTGAATTATAGAAACCCAACTGTCTTAGCTTCCCAAGTGCTAGGATTAAAGATGTGCACCCCCATACCTAGCATAAAGTAGATTTTAATAAGGCTCTTGGACCTGCTATACCTTTGTATTAGTGATAGAGTGATCCAGTAAAAATTTGCTTTTTTTGTCTTGCTCATATTGAGACAAGGTACAAAATGTTTGTTCAGCAGTCAACCAGTGCAAAATGCATATAAATGTTAGTTTGGGGATATATAAGTTTTTAAGAATCAGATATACTGTTTCTGTAAAGTCAAGTTCTACTGGCTATAGGTAAATTCTTTTTCTTCAATCAACTCTAAGGAATAACAGAGATGATGCTTGGAAAAGTTGAACACTATACTGGATACATATGATTTTCTTACTCAGTCTCCATAATAACCTTATAAATATGTTCTTATGCTTATACATGAAGAATCTGATGCACAGAGAAATTAAGTAATGTTGTCCAAGATCATACAGTTTGTAAATAGCAAAAATGATACTTGCCCATGGGCATTTTTCCAGCACCCATGCTCTTTGCTACTATAGTGTTCTATGTGTGCAGTATATAAAACCAGTCTTGGCAGTTTATAGCCACTTGTAGAAGACACATTTTGGAAAGAATTTCAATAGTTAGAACTGCTAACCTGGTAAACATTGCATGTTTAACTCACTAAAGAGAAAGAACATCCTCTTGAAATAATTGAGTATGTGCTCAGACACATCTTAGTGTCTCACAGCTTTCATAGTTTTGGAAATGTTGCTGCTGTGTCAGCGAATCATTGCCAAATCATTGCTCATTGTGCACCCAACATTTCCCAGGGACTGCTTGGGTAACACAGCCCCTTGGGCTGTTAATGCCCTCACTTTGTAGCTGAGGAGCTTGTCCAGAGTTAAGCAAGCAGTAGACCTAGATATAAAATTGTCTGTCTTTCATATTTGATACTCTTATTTGTACTTGAGGATTTATGGTTAGTTTTTTTTCTAGTCAGTGACAGTTTTCTGTCACCTTCCTCAGAAACAGAAATTAAAATTATAGATTTGTCAGGCAGAGAATTTGCAGTTTTATTTTAGAATTGTTTCCATACTGAATTTTATCAGATCTTATTTGTGGACTACATAGAAAATAGTGACATTTAAAAGTCTGTCTAGATGTGCCCATTGAGACTGGACTCCACAAGTCTGTATTTGATTGGTTGTGGTTTTCTGTAGTGATCTCTGTCTGTTGCAAAGAGTTTTCTTTGATGAGGTTATCTGTGAATAAGGACAAATACTTAGAACATAACTAGGGAGTATGATGGTTTAGTCAAGTGGTCGTTTTTGGTTCTTCTCCAAGTTTCCATCTTGTTGGGTGGTCTTAAGTCCAGTTAGAGAGCTGTTGGTTACTGCTAAGGTGTATATGCCACTACTGCCCTCTTAGAGCTATCAAGATGGTAAGAGCCAAAGGATCAGGGAGTTTTCTGTGGAATTGTGTGTCTTTTATTAAGATCAGAAGCTACACCCATAACATTTCATTAACATGACTGCCCAAACATAAGCTGAACAAGGAAAACAACAGTGACGTTCCAAAGTGTGTGTTGGGGGGCGGGGAGGGGGGTGCGGCATGGCAGGGGAAGACTGCTGAGTTTTGCATCTTAATTTTGGATCATTCCATTTTAGTAAAAGTGTTTAGCAAATTTAAGTGCTTTCTGGTGGAGTCTTTAGGGTCCCTTATGTATGCCATCATCATATTATCTACAAGTAAGGATACTTGAATTTATTTTCCTGTGTGTGTCCCTTTTTCCTCCACCCCTTTTGTTCCAGCTAAGACTTCAGCCACTATTGAGTAAGAGTAGAGAGTGGAAGCCCTTGTCATCTTTTTGATTTTAGTATACTTTCAATGATAACATCATACATAGCCTTTATTATGTTGTGATATAGTCCTTCTAGTCCTTCTAGATTTTATTAAAGCCTCTTGATTGTGTACTTTCTGAGTCCATTTGTGTGGAATACTACATTCTTTCATTTGCATATGTTGAGCCATTCCTACAGCTCTGTATTAAAATCAACGAATGATCTTTTTGATGTGTGGAATTCAGTTTCTAAGTATTTTGTTTATAATTTTTGCAGCTATATTTATCAGGGAGATTGTATTTTTTATTGTTGTCTTTATTTAGTTTTGGTATTAGGTAATACTTGGTTTGTAGAAAGAGTTCAATATGTATCCTTCTGTGCTTTCTATTTTATGGAGTAGTTTGAGACGCATCAATGTTAGTTCTTCTGTAAAGCTCTAGTAGAATCTACATCCAACTGGGTCTGGACTGCTTTTAGCTGGGAGATGTTTTATTTCTGCTTTAATCCTGTTGCTTGTTACAAATGTGTTTAAGTTGTTTGTCTTGTCTTGGTTTAATTTGGGTAGGTCATATTCATCTAAAAATTTATTTATGGATTTCACATTTTCCAGTTTAGTTAAATAAAAGTTTTTAAGGTATGTTTTTATGATTTTTAAAATTTCTTATGTATCTGTTTAATGCATCCCTTTGAGTTTCCTTTTTACTGTTTAGATTTATTTATTTTTGTGTTTATGAGTGTTTTGCCTGCATGTGTGTTTGTGTATCACATTTGTGCAAAACCTGTAGAGTCCAGAGGAGTGCCCTCTTAGTACTCTTGCTCCTCTTGGAACTGGAGTTACAGATAGCGGTAAGCTGCCATGTGGGTGCTAGAAATCAAACCTAGGTCCTCTGCAAGAGCACTCATTGCTCTTGACTGCTGAGCCAGCTCTCTATCCCCTTTCATTTTAGTAAATAGGGTCTTCTCTCTCTTTTGGTGAGTTTCACTAATTTGTTGATCTTTTATATCTTTTCAAAGAACCAGCCCTTCTTTTCATTGATTCTCTCTGTCTCTGTCTCTCTCTCTCTGTCTCTGTCTCTCTCTCTCTCTCTCTCTCTCTCTCTCTCTCTCTCTCTCTCTCTCTCTCTCTCTCCCCCTGTGTGTGTGTGTTCATCTCATTACTTTCTGCACAGATCTTACTTTTCTCTGTCTACTAAAAGAAATGAGTCTTAGCTTGTTCTTGTTTTTCCAAGGCCCTAAGGTACACTATTAAGTTATTTGAGAACTCTCTGACTTTTTATAATGTAGGTACTTTGTTGTGATTTAATTTTTGTTCAATTCTACAAGTATTTTTTCTTTCTTGATTTCTTAATGATCTGTTAATAATTCAAAAGTTTGTTATTTAATCCCCATGAATTTGTATATGTTCTGGAGTTCTTGTTGATTTCTAGTTTTAATTTCATTATGATGACATAGAATACAAAGTTATTTTGTGTATTTGATGCTACCTGATTTGTGTCTTGTATCATCCATTTTGGAGAAAGCTTCTGAGAAGAATATTGATTCTTTAGTGTCGGAATGCAATTCTGAAGATGTCTGTTAGTCCCATTTGACTTACGATATTATTTAGCTCATATGTTTGTTCATTTTTTTTTTTTAGGATGTCCTGTCAATTGGTGAAAGTGGGGTATTAAAGTTATCCACTACTATTATATTACAGTTAATGTGTGGATTCATATCTATTAGTTGTTTTATGGAATTGGGTACACCAATGTTTGGTGCATGTTCTAGTTTGGCCCCCTGTTGCTATGAAAAAAAAAAAAAACACTGACCAAAATCAGCTTGCAGGAGGAAGGGGTTTATTTCAGCTTTTACGTTACAGTTCATTTCTGAGGGAAGCCAGGGCAGGAACTCAAGGCAGCAACCTGGAAGCAAGAACTGAACCAGAAGCCATGGAGAAATGCTGCTTACTAGATTGCTTTCCATTGCTTGCTCAGCCTGCTTTCTTATGCTTCCCAAGGCCCGGGAAGGAAATAGACATTCAGTCTTTAAGGTTATACATAAACATCTGCTTTTTGTCTTAAAAATTACACTAGAGGCGGAAATATGAATACTAATAAAACTAGAAAAATCTGAATCATAGATTATTTAAGATTAAATGATCAGATATAGTTGCTGTGCAGAAGGGACTTCTGAAGTCTTACCACTTAAGCTATAAGTGAGCTACTAACTGAACAAGGTGTATTTTCCCATCACATAGAAGTCCAGGTCTGCCATCCTTAGGATCTTCAAGGAGCTCCTATTGAACACAAGATGATTGCTGTAACTGTGGTTATAACATCTATGTTTCAGATATCTAAAAAGAGGGACCCTTATAAGGATATTGCCTACTCCCAACTGAGTTATCTCCCTTTAAAGGAATTTCCTTGAAACGGTCCAGTGACTCCTGTTTATTCATTCCTAACTTTTTTTTTTTGCAAGAGAGACTGGAAAATTTTATATTTGGGTGCACTGTGTCCCCCAATAAAGCAAGAATCTGTTCTTAAATTCAGAGAGAGGGACAGAAACTGAGAAATGGCTAACTAGCTAGCATTTGCCATTGAGGGTTGATTTAGCACACTACCAGAATTCTGGAAGAGTTGAAATCTTTTCCTCCTTTAGAAGACTACCATTCAAGATAGTCTTATCACATAGATTAGAGAAACTAAAGCACCCCAAAAAGATTGATAGGAGTGATGTTTATATGTCTATTAAAATCCCAACTGGTGAGTGCATGCCAGACAAAAACATAGCCATACAAGTACATGTACAAAAATGTTCACAGTGGCATTAGTCATAGTAATCATGATTACCAAAGTGAGCATGACCTAAGTGACCATCAGCAGATAGGTACACAAACATAATATATCCACATAATATTAGTCATCCATAAGAAAGAATGGAATACTGAAACATGCTACAATGTGTATGACTATGTTTAACCTTGAAAGCATGATAATTGAAAGAAGTTTGTCATGGACTGTGGGCACAGCCCAAGGGGTACAACACTGCCTAGCGTA